CCCTTCTCCAGATCTTCCCAACTCAGTGATCAAAAACCCAGGTCTCCTGCATTGCAGGGAGAGTCTTTACCATCTGAGCTACAGGGAAGTCCTTAGTAACAACTCTTGACCTACACATTTGTAATCACTTTGTAGTATAAATCAAATGGCAAAGAGGTTTGCTTCATCTCAAGTCCAACTTCAACTGACTGGTTATCACTACCCAAAGTGCTGGGTTGAAGAGCCAAAGTCAGGCTCAGCAGGAAGGCAAACCATCCACGACGGAGGAGCAAGGCCTGCTGTGGGTTCAGCTTTTTCAAGGAAGAGCACGTGGGCCACCTGTTTGCCGTCCACCACATCATAACTAACTTTCTTGAGCTGGAATGGAGTACTTCTATTAGTCTAGTTCTGTATGTTCCACAGCACTTAGAACATAGTGCTTAACACAGTGAAGGGGCAATAAATAGGTATTGCTTGACTGTAACATCAACATCCTCAATAAGGCACCCCATGGGGGAAGCTGCACAAACAGCCTTCAACAACTATACTGGGATAACGTAAGTGAAGGGCTCTGGTCTGGACCAGCTAAGCCGCTTTCCCTTGGTGCATGATTTCAAACTAATAAGCCTGCAAAATAAACTATGAAGCTTCAGGAAAATTGTTTCATGCAGGAAACTGAGTATCAATGTGAAAATTGTGTTTTGCTTCTGTGTGATGGTTATACCTCTCGTATAAACTACCACTTGCTACAGACAAACCGTGTACAAGAAGTGCACCGCCTGCACGTGCCCTCCACGCGGCTGTTTCTGAGGTCCTGCATCTCTGCTGGAGCTCCGTGCACTCCTGCACCCCTTGCTGCCACCCCTACTCTGTCAGTTAATGAATCTGAAAAGGAGAGAAGGTGTTTCTCGCATGTACCGTCGTAAATTACCTGAGACCAAATTGCTAATTACCACCATTCTCCTACAAGCAGAGCGCTCCTCCCCTCTGCGGCATCTCCTGCCTCGGGCTGGGAGTCCTCTGTTTCCGTTTCATCTCTTTTCCATACCTCGGGACAGGGACGTGTCCAGGAACCCAGGCCAAAAGCAGCAGATTTATCACCATGCTAATGACAGCGAGCTGCATGCAGAGTGATTTCTGCAATCCCCCTCAACTCCTTTTGCCAAGACCTGTGGAGCTGCAAGATCCAGCCGATTACAGAGACTGTTATCATCACATGAAGAATGGCTCTGTTGGAAAACGCAATTAGATATCAGCCATGAGGCTATCTTTAGAAGCTTGTTGGCAAAGATCTCAAAAACGAAAATCGCCATGTGGCGGATTTGTAGATGTTAGCCAAATTGGCCAAAACTGAGAATCACTAAACACATTTTCAACCTACCTCTATCAGTATGAGGCATTCTGACGACCGACCTCATGTCCCCTAGGTATGGCTTGCCATTCAGGGAATGGGTGTCTTTGTTTGCAGAGATTATAGAACTCTCAGTCCTGGTGGCAAAACCTCCCTCATAATTTTCATGAGCACTGTTTCCTAGGCTGAGACAGTGAGAATCTTTCACCCTATCATTCCAAAATAGCTTCCCCAGGGCTTGGGAGTGGAGAAGGAAATGGCAACCCACTCCAGTATTCTTGCCTGGGAAATCCCATGGCCAGAGGAGCCTGGTAGGTTAAGGTCCATGGAGTCCCAAAGAGTCTGACACAACTGAGTAACTAAACTGCCGCCAGGCTTGGGAAAATGGCCCTGTGGGAAGCATGTAGACGAGGAGGCACCTGGTCAGAGAGACAAGTTGTCAGGGAAGCCAGCTGTTGAGGATGTTCCTGGTGGGGAAGCTTGTTGTCATCAGGGTAGTTTCCAGAGGGGCAGGCAGCCCCATGTGACTCTAAAGGAGCAGGTCATTGTCCAGTCTCCTTAGGAGGGAGACATCCAGGCACATGGGGCTTCCCTGGTAGCTCAGATGGTAAAGGAATCCACATGCAGTGCAGAAGACCTGGGTTCAATCCCTGGGTCAGGAAGATTCCCTGAAGGAGGGCATGGCACCCCACTCCAGTATTCTTGCCTGGAGAATCCCCATGAACAGAGGAGCCTAGCGGGCTACAGTCCACGTGGTCGCAAAGAGTCGGACATGACTGAGCGACCAAGCACAGCACAGTACCCAGACACATAAGAGGCTTGTGGTGCAAGGCACCTGTGCAGATACCCAAGAAACCATCCAGGAACCACGTAACAGCAGTGCTCCCTACTATGGACCTGAGAAAGCCCTTGATGACCTCCTCAAAATCAAGAGAGGGGCCTCAAGGGGTACTGCATTTGCCATAGCATTATCTCCTTTCATTTGAAGAGTATGTATGCTGTGCTTCTTTAAAAATCAAGTCAGCAATTTTGGAGGCTCAGCCCAGCACCGCCTCTGTGCTCCCAACTTGTTGACTCTGCTGACACAGACAGTTTGATAATGCGGGGAAGAGACTGTTCCAGGTTTCAGGTCCTGATGGCTCCAGGCTCATCCAGTGCTCATCCTTGGGCCAGGTTCCCACCTCCCCACTCCCTTCTAACACAGTCCCTATGTTCTCATGGCCCCCACTTGGAATTGGGGTGTGAGGGTTGCTCTGCCCAGTCCTTGGCTCCCTCTGTCTGCCTAGTCATCTCTGGGGGGGACGCTGGAAGTCATGGCAGACTTGCACTGTGACATGCCAGGAGATGGTGCTCTCCAAGGTGGAGCTGAGGACCCTGGGGATGTTTAATCCAGAGAGGACATGTCTAAGTGGAGAAACCATAGCATCCTCAGATGTATGAAGGGGTCTCACTGACCATGAGAGAGGATCCTTTCTCTATGCTCTTCCAGAGAACAGACCAAGTCCAAATGGGAAAATTACAAGGAGTCATGCATCAACACCACATCAGTAATTCCTTATGTATGGTTTAACCAGTGGAACAGCCCAGGTACATGCAAGTGAGAGGTTAAATAACCATTTCATTCTGTAGAAGGGACTCCTCAATTAGGTGGGGAAATTAAACTGAATGGCATCTGCCATCCCTCCCAACCTTAATAGTCTAGGAATGCCCTAGAATTTTCAGGGAATGACCAGGTCTCCTGTGACCACTTCACTGGAAACTCAGTTCAGGCGTAGCCTTTTAGGCATGTGCTGTGCTGAGTCGCTTCAGTCATGTCCGACTCTGTGACACTAGGGACCGTAGCCCACCAGGCTCCTCTGTCCATGGGATTCTCCAGGGAAGAATACTGGAGTGATTGCTGTGCCCTCCTCCAGGGGATCGTTCTGACCCCGGGATCCAACCTACATCTCTAAAGTCTCCTGCATTGGCAGGCAGGCTCTTTACCACTAGCACCGCCTGGGAAGCCATCTGAGACATAGAACATACTTTATATGAGGAAAGGAGGCGGTGAAGTTCCCAGGCTCTCTCAGAATCCCCCAGTGACCTGATGTCGTATCCCAAATGGGATGTGCAGTACAGACAGCCCTGACATGTTAACTAGTCCGTGGAGCCCTGGGACGTAAACAAACCCCAGGGCGGCCGCTGCAGCCAGGCCTCAAACACGACATCACGGAGCTTCAGAGATGGGGGAAGTCAGGCGGTCATTCCATCCCAGCTCCTACCCCAGGCAAGAATCCTCCGTCCAACAGCCCAGCACGTAGCTGCCCAGCTCCTGCTTGAGCGCCTTCAGGAGGGGACCCACTGCTTAGCCAGGAGATTTAGTCCATTTTGAGACAACTTAATCCACATGGAGACAGTCCTCGTGAGCCATTTCTTTCTTCCCCATACTGAGCCCCAAATCTGCCTTCGTTCAACTTGACTTTTACCCTCGGCAGTAGGACAGAAATAAATCTGTTGCCTCAGCCATATAACAATGTTTAGATTTTTAAAGACAGCCATTGTCTCCAGAACTCCAAATATTATTTTTTTTCCTGTCTAAACATCTCCAGTCACCTTAGCCATTTCTCACATGGTGTGGTTTCAGACCCTCACCAGCATGGTTACCATCTTATAAGTATTTTCTGTTTTATGAATGTTCTTTACAAAAAGTAGCTCCTAGAACAAATAACCAACTGTATTCTGACCACTGCGGAGTACAGCGATGCTCTCACCTCCCTTGTTCCGCTCACTGTGAAAAGTGAAAATGTTAGTCCCTCAGTCATGTCCGACTCTTTGCGACCCCGTGGACTGTAGCCTGCCAGAATCCTCTGTCCGTGGAATTCTCCAGGCAAGAATACTGGGGTGGGTTGCCATTTCCTCCAGGGGATCTTCCTGACCCAGGGATCGAACAAACCTGGGTCTCCTGCATTATAGATGGATTCTTTACCATCTGAGACACCAGGGAAACCACTAGACCCGTATTCATGAATATGGTATTAGATGTGTTTCCTACCAAATGACCAACTGTTGTGTTCATATGAATGTTATCGTCCACTAAAACCACAGTATTTTTTTATTTGACACAGTTTCTTTATAGCTTAAAAGAAAGAAGTGGATTTCAAGGGGGCCCAATAAATTATTAGAAGATCAAATCCTGCCTCCCCCTGCATTAATAATGGACATACAGAACTATTTAAGAGACTATAGCCCCAGCAAAGTTATGAGGGACAGACTTAGATGACTGAACCCACAGATACTGCCCCCAAAGGTGGAATGTGTGCTTGCACTGATATGCTGGGGCCTGATCTCTGCAGCCTCTTCTTCCATACATCCAGGGCATGAAGGGCTCTTCTTGGAAGCTGTACCCACCTTTAAAAAAATCTTTATTTATCTATTTTTCTGTGCCAGGTCTTATTTGCAGCGTGTGGAATCTTTAATTGTGGCACGTGGGATCTAGTTCCCTGACCGAGGTTTGAACCCAGGACCCACCCCTGCACTGGGAGCACGGAGCCTCCAGGGAGGAGAGGTCCCTGTGCCCACTTTTGCCTTTCTCACGCTGCCTAAGGTCTTTAACTCGCCACCTGCTTCCAAGGCCACCTCTTCCTCCAGCCCGCTGAGGACTCACCAGGGCTTTCCTCTGTGTCTTTGACAGGTCGCCTGAAGGAGGAGATCACCCAGCGGCACGTGCAGCAGGTGGCTCTAGGTGGGTACAGGGTGGGGCCTGCAGGCGGACGGCGAAGGTCACACAGGCTGACCTGGGGAACCCACGCCTCGCTGGCCCTCAGGAAGGTCGGGGTAGGGAGGACCGCTGTCGGGGCAGCTTCCTCTGGACGCCCCTCCTCTCCGGCGCCAGGCTCCCCCTCCAATGTGCTTGCGTCTGGCGGTCAGCACCTGGCACCCACCCTCCCAGCGGCTGCCTCATCCTCTGACTTTTTCCACCCCACATTCCAACCTGAACTCACCGGCTATATCCCAGCCCCTCAGGGTCCTACTCAGAGCTTTCTAGAACCATGACCAGCTAATCCCAGAAGGGACAATTGGTGGTGAAAACAGCTCCAGGTGGCTGAATGCTCTCTGTGCACTGTTTGTGTTCCCAGCAGTCCTGAGGTCAGCGCCTTTTCTGGATGAAGGTGATTCAGTGGCTTGCCCAGGGTCACAGGCTAGCAACTGTCGGCGCTAGGACTTGAACCAGGCCTCTGAGTCCACCCTGGGCACCCTTGGTCTGCATGCTATTTACTGCCCACAGCAATGATGGGCCCAGAATGCAAGCACTAAACCAATAGAGTGATATTCTGAAAGGCCCTGGGCACCTCTTAGGCAGTGGGCATCCACTGAAAATGCCCCCTTGTGATACACAACCCAGGGAAGTCACCCAGGGAGCGTGTCCGGCTCCCTGGAAAGCTGGCGGAGCAGGGTTCCTGGGCAGGACCCCCGTGTCCTCACCACCTAGCTGGGGATCAAGCCTTCTAGAGCTTTGATTAAATAAGCTATTCTTGTATTCCAAACAAGGGGGTCCCCCTTGAGAATGTCTGACCCCCGGAATCACCTATAGCTGGAGAAACCTTGCACCCAGGGTCTCTGGGGGCTACAGAGATGAGCCCCAGCATCATGAGGGTAATCCATTTGACTCCAGTAACTTGGATTAAGGGGGAGGTTGGTTGTTTACTTTCGGTCATAACAATGATCATATCAAATAACTAGCGATTACATCAGAAACATACAACAAGGAAGCCTAAGACACCCAGACAGAACCCAAGCTTTTCCCTGTTGGGTCTGGGACTGAAGGGTCGGGCAGATGTGCAGAGGCTGCCCTCCTCTTGCCAGAGGCCTGCCTGTGCAGAGGCTTGGAGCTGATATTCTGTGCAGGGTCAGCAGAGCACCTTCCTCCAAATACAGCAGGGCTCCTGGGGTCCTCACTCCCAGGGCCAGGCTTGGGCGGGGCACAAGAACCTCCACTGGAAGCTGTGTCGAGGTGCAGGTCACTGAATGGGGAGTTATCCCTGGGGCTGCCCTGTAGGCCTCTTCTCCAGTATCCATGATGCTTGTTGAACAGAAGTAATGATGTGGAAAATACCACTCAGATCATTCCAAGGGCAGTTTTGCTCTAGGGTCTGGGGAGCCGTTTCCATGGCTTTCAGGGCAGGACGTGCTCCAGTCTTTCTGCTCCCCCAGTCCCAACCCTGCCACGTGTCTTCAACAGCAGGCTCCTCCTTAATTCCTCCGCTCACCTCTCTGGAGCCTTCTTCCAAAGTATAGCCGGTGTCAGGCTCAGCAGGGCCCAGCTTCGCCTGAAGTAATCAGCAAACCTCAAACGAAAAACACTGTGGCTGAGTCTAATTAAGAGCATTTGAAATGCCTATTTATCTTAAAAGCCGACTATCCCAATTAAAGAGGAAGTGGTACTGTCTCCAGCTGCCATCTTGAGATCAAACGCCACGTTGCTATCCAGGCACCTTGGGAGCTTGTCTGACGGGTCTGTGGACCCACCGATGCGCTGTGTCCCAGGGGCCCACAGTTCAGAAACTTCCCCTTGAGAAAAAGTCTCGATGCAGCAGGTCACTTACAGCGCCATTTCCTGCCTTAACCCTCGCCCTTCAGACTAGCGTTGGGGCTGAAGGCCAGGACGCACAGCTTCTGTAAGACCAAAGACAACTCACTCAGTGCATTTGGCTTCCTGACGTTCTGTAGTTTGGGCTTCGGTGGAGCGATGAGGCGGTGACTATGCCCGCTCTTGCCCTTCCACTCCTGTGGGTTTGTTTGTATGGCGGTCCCTTCCCTTTCTATTACATTTCTTTGTGTGCTTCTTCTCCTCTCTACTTTCCCTTCATTTCTAATATTCCCTTTGGTAGTATATCTTTCTTTTGCTTCCATGTTCCTAAGTTTCCATGAATGTGCAGGCAGGGGTTGGTTGGTTGGGTTTGGGATTTTGGGGGGTGGAGGGGTTCAGGAGTAACGAGGGAGTCTGAGCAGGAGAGGTTTTCTCATGTATTTTGCATAAGAATGCATCTCTGTTTGTGGGTGTAGACATATGCCCAAGAAAATTTGCAGAAAGGCAGTCTCGAAAAGCAGAGGTTTAATGGTGAGGTGAGAATGCCATGGGGCTTTCCAGGTGGTGCTAGTAATAAAGAACCCGCCTGCCAATGCAGAAGACATTAGAGACCTGGGTTCAATCCCTGGGTTGGGAAGATCTCCTGGAGGAGGGCATGGCAAGCCACTCCAGTATTCTTGCCTGGAGAATCCCATGGACGGAGGAGCCTGGTGGGCTACAGTCCCTGGGGTTGCAAAGATTCTGACATGACTGAAGGGACAGCACTCACACATTGTTCTATCCACTCTCCTCTTCCCACTGTAGCCCCAAACCAAGTCAACTGTGACCTTCCCCACAAAGCCTCGCCTGCCCCCTTCTCCCCAGTCTGATCGTCCTCCAGCCTCAGGCACTTCTGCTGGAGCACCACCCTTGTCCTGTAATTAGTTATCTCCATATCTATTCTCCACATGAAAATACGAGCTCCTGGGAAGCTAGGTGCAGTCGAATTCATCTCTGTCCCCGCAGCAGCTGGCACAGGCAATAAACAGGCCAGAGTCAACGCTTCCCCATATGACTCTGAGACTCACGCATCTTACAGAAGTGTAATGAGACATTTGAACATAAAATAAGTCCATTTAAAGGAAGTAGAAGGAGTAAATGCCTTTGGACCCCACAGCTGAGCAGATTACAGCGTGCAGGCAGTAAATCTGACTCTGTCTTATCTAGCCACGGAGCAGAAAGAGGAGCACCCGGAGTTCCATAGTTTTCATTTTCTGACAACAGGAAGCATGCTAATTTATCTGCAGAAACAGAATTTCTTCTGGAACCAAACACAAAGCAGAATATATTGTGAGGACCTTTGTATAAAGGACTCTGAGTGACACAGTGAACGTCATCGTCAGCTGCAGTTTTGCAGAGGTTGCTGAAATGTCCCACAAGATGGTTCTCGCCTCGACCCTCTGTAGAAGCGAGAGGCCCATCAGGAGCGCGTGACTCGCTGAGGGTGTCTCTGGGAGCGGCGAGGTGACGCGCGCCGGGCGCCCAGCCCTCTGATGGCCTCATGGAGCAGGAGCAGGATGGGGAGAAGCCGCCCCAGGACGCAGGGCTGTGCCCTCTCTCTCAAGTGTCTCTGCTGAGCAGTATTTGATCGGGGCTGGCTCTCCTTCAGCTCACCATCAGAATTCTACCAAGTGCCTGTGATTAAAATTTAAAAGGCGCATGGCACTCCTGAGAGGCATGTGAAATGTGACAGGTGAGAGCACACACCAGGCCCTCGGGGCTCAGAGAACTGAACAGAGAGTGGGCCCCAAGGTGTCACCAGGGCCGTGGGCCTGAGCCGAGCCTGGAAGAATGGGCAGGACTCAGAACCTCAGAGAGGGGCGTGGGGGCAGAGAGGGCTGCGGTGTGTGTGTGCGTGTGTGATGTATATATGTATACGTATATGTATGTGGGGCATATGTGTGCATGTAGTTTGTGTGTGAGATATGTGTATGTATGAATGTAGGGGGTGTGTGTGATATGTATGTGTATGTATGTGGGGGTATGTGTGTATGTAGTGTGTGCAATATATGTGTATATGTATGAATGTAGGATGTGTGTGTGATGTGTATGTTTATGTGTGTGGGGTACGTGTGTATGTAATGTATGTGATATATGTGTGTATGTATGAATGTAGGGTGTGTGTGGAATGGCAACCCACTCCAGTGTTCTTGCCTGGAGAATCCCAGGGATGGAGGATCCTGGAGGCCTGCCATCTATGGGGTCACACAGAGTCAGACACAACTGAGGTGTCTTAGCAGCAGCAGCAGGGTCTGTGTGTGTGTGTATGTGTGTGTGTGGTATACCTTTATATGTATGTGGGGGATAGTGTGTATGTAGTGTATGTGTGATGTGTATGTATGTGGGGGGTGTATATTTAGTGTGTGGGGTATGTGTGTATATGTATGTGGAGGGATGTGTGTGTGTATAGTGTGTGTATGAGAGAGATATAAATGTATGAATGTAGAGTGTATGTGTGTGGTATATATGTATATGTATGTGGGGGATATGTATATATGTATGTAGTCTGTGTATATGTGTATGGGGGTGTATGTGTGTAGTGTGTGTGTTTATGCATAGGGGGTGTATGTGTGTGGTATATACGTATATGTGTATGGGGGGTGTATGTGTGTTTGTAGTGTGTGTGTTTATGCATAGGGGGTGTATGTGTGTGGTATATATGTATATGTATGTGGGTATATGTATGTATGTAGTCTCTGTGTGTATATGTGTATGGGGGGTGTATGTGTGTTTGTAGTGTGTGTGTTTATGCATAGGGGGTGTATGTGTGTGGTATATATGTATATGTATGTGGGTATGTGTATGTATGTAGTCTGTGTGTGTATATGTGTATGGGGGATGTATGTGTGTTTGCAGTGTGTGTGTGTTTATGCATAGGGGGTGTATGTGTGTGGTATGTGTTTATTTTGTGTGTGGAGGAGGCAGGGGGAGGATGACTCTGTGGGTAGCTGATCTGAAATATTCCAGATAAAAGGCTAAAAGGGTGAGGTGGGCCAGTTCATTGAGAGCCTTGAACCTGAGCATCTCCCTCACAGGCAGTTGAGCCACTGGACATTTTAGAGCAAGGAAGGAAGTCTTGGTCGAAGAGGCCTTTTAGGAAAAGAAAGCCCCAGGCA